TGACATAGGCTACTTTTATTTTTTTATTATAACCGCAAGCTTTACATGAATATCAAACAATATATCACGTTTTGCTACTTTTTTCAGAGATGTCTCCAATGATTGTTATAATGTAGCTAAAGCATATTTAAAGGACCACTATAGTGCCAGGAAAACATACTCGTTTTCCTGGCACTATAGTGCCCTGAGGGTGCCCCCACCCTCAGGGACCCCCTCCCGCCCGGCTCTGGAAAGGGGAAAGGGTTAAAAACTTACCTTTTTCCAGCGCTGGGCGGGGAGCTCTCTGCTTCCTCTCCTCCTCTTCTCCTCCTCCTCCTGGACTGAATGCGCACGCGCGGCAAGAGCTGCGCGCGCATTCAGCCCGTCGCATAGGAAAGCATTTACAATGCTTTCCTATGGACGCTTGCGTGCTCTCACTGTGAAAATCACAGTGAGAAGCACGCAAGCGCCTCTAGTGGTTGTCAATGAGACAGCCACTAGAGGATTAGGGGGAAGGCTTAACCCATTCATAAACATAGCAGTTTCTCTGAAACTGCTATGTTTATAAAAAAATGGGTTAACCCTAGAAGGACCTGGCACCCAGACCACTTCATTAAGCTGAAGTGGTCTGGGTGCCTAGAGTGGTCCTTTAACCACTGCCATGTTTCAGAAAGTTAATGCTCAATAGTTGTGGCGGGGCAAAATGCTAAAAAGGTTAACTTACAGTCTGAAAGGGTTAATTGGTTCAAAGTTTAGCTTCCAATAACATGTATTTCCAAATGGAAAGGAACCCTGTTAGGATCATGTTAGAATTATTGTCATCACCTTTTTCTCTTCTTGGCACTAAAGTAGATTCCTGGTGTGCAGGAGGCATTATTTTATTATAACTTACCCTCCCATAGAGGACCTACCACATAGGTGACAGATTAAATTGCACTACAGAATATTTAATAGTGTGTAATACAGAGAGCAGACACTGTAAAGGGATTGGATTATTGACAGGTGATATGCCATTAACAATTTTGAAGTGTAAAATCTAGTCTGAGACTACTTCTTTTTTTTTTTTTATCTCGTCTTTTATTGAGGTCAAATACACCAGTACACCTGTTATAACTCCTACTTGTATTGTGAATTTTTAATACTGCGAAATACATAATACAAATAAGTAGGAGTTATAACAGGTGTGCAGAAGAACCGCAGTGCTCAGGTCACATACGAGTAGGCATATAGTAATAGACAAATCAAAGGAAACTCTTGGGGAGGTCAAGCTCATTTTTAAAATATTAATAAAATAACATGTTTTATCAAAACTGTAGTGTACAAAAAGTAGTGGTCAGAGACTAAACTGTGAAACTGTGGTGTTGAGGTACCCAAACAGGCATGAAAGAACTATAAATGAATGCCACTAGGCAAACTGGACTGCTGGCATAATCTAGGCAAAAAAGATCTAGACATGGTGTGTACTAATAATAAAAGATGCAAAGTTTCATGCTAGGGTAAGTCATTAAAGATATAACCTCTGTAGGGAGATACAGCTAGATAACACTACAGAGACAAAATATTAAAAATAAAATTAAAAAATAAACAATATTAAAAAGCATGGTGCATTACGTATAAAATAAGAAGGGTGTCATCCGCAACTGTTGAGTGGGGACATTGCTCAGGCCGTAAACTCTCATGTTGGACAAGCCTACTCCCATTAGGGGCAAAGCCGCTTCACAGCCAGGCAAGGTCATACACCTGAACCGGAAACCCTTCTGGCCCAAGGCCTGCATGAGGGCCAACATCATTACACAGAACAGGAAACTGCTAGAGTCCAAGTTTATCCCCTTCTGGAGGGGGACAGAGGATTGAGATGGTAGTCTCGGCTTGTTGTGGGTAATCTTCTTCCCTTGTGGATGACGCAAGGCGGTGAAGCATCGTATTGGCTCTAGGTCCACGTAGGTGTACAGTAGGTTGCCGAGGTGTTTTCTGAAGCATTTCACCCCGAGGAGGTCCTTCCATCTCTGGCTGCACGTGTCTCCAGTCTCCAACCTTTAGCTGGGACTTATCTTCTGCGTTACTGTATCGCTGACCAGAATCTCTAAAATATCTAATTGAGCCGCAACAGGGAGCAGGCTGTAGAGCCATCGTGAGCCTACTGAGTTCACGTGATGAACCCCACCGCTCCAAACAGGGGGAGTGTCTGGTTAGATTGCTGCATGTGGTTAGATTGCCACTACACAATGTGGGAGGTCGGCCGCCCCTCCTGACCAATGCAGGCGCCAGGCCTCACCCAATTTTCTGGCTTGTGCGGTGAGGGACACTTGGCCGAGCACTCCACTCAGCTCCACTGCTCACCGAAACAAGATTTGCACCCGAGTTCTGCTGCAGTATTCTCATCAGGCAGGTAAATTAGAAGTCACTATGATGGTCAGGCCCCGCCTGTCTGGTGTGAGACTTTTCAACACCACTTTTACCATATGGACTTTATACACTATGTTAAATATCTAGCTTTGGAACTCGCCATCATGCTCAAAAGGAGTTAGCAACAAATTAATCATACTGTCAAAAACGTTTAATCAAGGACAAGTGTTACCCTAACTTGATGACATGTAGAAGCAAGGTATTGATCACTTTTATATATATATATATATATATATATATATATACATACCCAATACTTGAAATGCTTGTTTAGCGGTACCTTCAATAAACACACCCTGCAAAGTCCATATGAAAAATGATAGGTTTTTAACACATTTTTAGCATCATTAGTGCATTTGTTTATGACTTTCTGCCTGTAAGTTAATTGAAAGCCCTATAAAGGACTTAGTTTATTTCTTCTTAACCTCGCAATATGTGTCTATCAAGCTTGACATAGCAAGATTAAAGATAAACCTGTGGTTTAGGGCCGAATGATAATGATGATTTTTTTTTTTCTGACTTAAATGTTACTAGAAAAAAATGTGAAACTTTGATTGTCATCACTCTCATATCTGATGCACAATGATGCACAATAATGGACAAAAGTCAGAAAACTTAATTCATCAGTTACCACCATTGGATTGTAATTTAATATGAACAGCACAGTAGAAGCCAGTTTTTGACTGCCAGCAGTGCCCCGTGTTTTGTGTCAAATTGCTCTAACAAATTGACAGAAAACAGGAGAAAGTGTGGGAAAGTGGGTCACCTCTAAAAATTCCTTGTACAATAACCACAACAATAAGTATGTATTTTTTTTGCATTCAGTTAAAAGCAGAGGATACATTTTGGTTTGACAATATTTCAACTGAGTGTACCACCTTGCTGAAACTATTTTCTTTTACAATGTATCTACTATGTTTATTTTTAAGTTTATAGTTTTTTTTTTAATATTTCAAGATATGTGGCATAATCTTTCTACCTTAATTTGTAGCGGTATGCTGTGCTTAGAGGTATGTCAGGTTTACAATGGTTTGGCTTATTGTAATTTATATTACTTACTTTGCCTTCACACCTCTATACCATCCTATTGACTTCCTCTTCTTCTTCCTTTTTTTTTTTTACTTCTAATTTGGTTCATCATTATCGCAACTTTCCAGTGAATTAAATCCTTCTGTCTAAAAATAAATGAGCTGTGGTTTAATGCATGTGTTAATGACAAAAAACAGACTGTATTTACAATGAGTTGGTTTTATATAGCTTGGTTGCTTCACCTAAGTGTTGCTTCTAAGTGTGTAGTTGGAAATATTCTGGAGAATTTTACAGAAGCTTCAACTGTCTAAGAGTTGTGCTAAGAGCTTTCTTTTCTACTGTTACAGGTAAGATTCATCTGTAGGAAAAGGTTACTGATTGCACAAGGTTTGAATTCCTGTTGGTAATTATAAGGCATTTGATTTAATTAGTCAGTTACTTGCTATTGATTGCTGTTTAAATTAGCTATTGTTTGCAAATAAGCAGAGGCCTACCCAGGTGTTAAACATTCATAGTGGGTGGTGATTTTCGGAGTTATATAAGGGTTGTTGTCATTAGCTTGGCTAATATAGCTTGGTTGCTTCATCTAAGTGTTGCTTCTAAGTGTGTAGTTGGAGATATTCTGGAGAGTGTTGCTTCTAAGTGTGTAGTTGGAGATATTCTGGAGAGTGTTGCTTCTAAGTGTGTAGTTGGAGATATTCTGGAGATAACCTGGAGGTAATCTGAGGTATTCAGGAGGATAAATACAAAGTTAAGATTTGTTTGATTTAAATTATTCTCCTCATTGGAATGGCAGACTAAGTTCAGTGTAATAGTTGCTATGAGTTTGTTTCACGTTCCACTTTTTGGAGATTTGGTTGTTGTCTAATCTGTAGACAGTTCTCTATCTTGCAGCAGGAGATTGTATTTTTGAAGTCTGAGATTTGTAAATTATCTGGTGAACAAGCTCAGACTGGAACTGCTGCAAAGCCACTGCCGCAGAGACATACTAGGAATGGCAGATGGATTACTGTAGGATCTGGTAGACTTAGAGTTGTGGATAAAAGGCATTTTGCACAGTCTGTTGCTCTACATAATTCATTTTCTGCACTTTCAGAGTGTAATGGTGTTATGGAGAGAGGCACTGAGGCTAGTGGTGTTGTGGAGAGAGGCACTGAGGCTAGTGGTTTTGTGGAGAGAGGCACTGAGGCTAGTGGTGTTGTGGAGACCGGCTTGGAGACTATGGTGAGGCCTAATAGAAAGCAGTTGTTGTTGGGGGATTCCATTATAAGAGGTGTGGAGATGGACAGTGGTGGTCTTGTGAGGTGTCTTCCTGGAGCTATTGCTCACAGAGACAGGAGACGTATCTGTAATATTATTAAGCATAACACTCAGAACGTCAGGCGGATGCGTATTAGGGACTTTAATTTGTGGCTTGGTGAATGGTGTCGGGAGCAAGGATTTGGCTTTATTTCTCATGGTACCTCTGTTTGGAATGGAAATAAGCTGTACAAAAAAGATGGTTTTCATCTTTCTCAAAAGGGAACAAATGTTCTCAGTGAGCGGTTCAGGTTTCAGGTTTTTCTAGGATGTATTTAAACTAGGAGGGGGGGGGGGGCAAAAGGGTGATGAAACATCAATCCAATTGTCCCCCAAAACAAGGACAGAAGGTGCCTGTAGCAAGTGTGTTAAAAAATGATAAGCTTAGAGGCATGTCTACAAATGCTCGCAGTTTTAGTGAAAAAGATCCATGAACTTGTGGCAATAATGGCAACTGATAGTGTAGATTAGTCGCTGTTACTGAGACATGGTATAATGAGAAAAATGACTGGGACATAGCAATACCAGGGTACTCTTTATATAGAAAAGATAGGAAGGCAAGAAAGGGGGAGGGGTGGCCCTGTATGTGAAGGATAGCATAAAATCTAGCCTAATAAAAGTTAGTGAGACAAACATAGAGTCCGTTTGGGTTACGTTAGAATTTGGTAATCACACAGTAACTTGTGTAGGTGTGATTTATAGGCCCCCAGGACAAATTGAAGAGTTAGATAATCTACTAGTTGAGGAAATAGCTAAAATGACAATGAAGGGGGAAGTTATCATCATGGGTGACTTTAATCTTCCTGATGTAAATTGGAAAACAAAATTAGCTACTTGTGCCAGGAGCACACATATTCTTAACTCACTACTGGGATTGTCTCTAAAACAAGTTGTTGAAGAGCCAACTCGTAAAGAGGCCATACTAGATTTAGTGTTAACAAATGGAGATTTGGTATCAGATATTACTGTAGGTGAAAGTTTAGGATCCAGTGATCATCAGTCAGTGTGGTTTAATATAAGAACAGTGACTGAGTCACACCACATAAAAACAGAGTCATTATCAGACTGGATCAATTTAAATGGAGTCCAAGAGAAATGGGATTATTTAAAAGTTGCACTATTGAAGGCAACAGAAAATTGCATTAGGCTTGTCAGTAAAAGCAAAAAATTCAAGAAACCACTGTGGTACTCCGCAGATGTGGCCAAAATAGTTAAAAACAAAAAGTTAGCATTTAGGAATTATAAAAAAACCCAGAGTGAGGAAGACAAAATGATCTATAAGATTAGGCAGAAAGAGGCTAAGCAAGTTATAAGAGCTTCCAAATCACACACGGAAGAGAAAATAGCACAGTCAGTAAAAAAGGGGGATAAAACATTTTTTAGATACATAAATGAGAAAAGAAAAGTAAAACAAGGATTAGTTAGATTAAAAACAAAAGAAGGAAGGTATGTAGAAGAGGATAAAGGTCTAGCTGACTGCCTCAATCAATATTTTTGTTCTGTATTTACAGATGAAAATGAAGGAAAAGGACCTCAGTTGAGAAAAAGGATAAATTAGTCATTTATTACATGTGAGTTTACAGAGGAAGAGGTTCTATTTCAACTGTCAAAAGTAAAGACAAATAAGTCAATGGGACCTGATGGAATACACCCAAAGCTATTAAAAGAGCTTAGTGGTGTACTAGCAAAACCATTAACAGATTTATTTAACCAATCATTGTTAACAGGAGTAGTCCCAGAAGATTGGAAGTTAGCGAATGTTGTGCCCATTTACAAGAAAGGTAATAGGGAGGAGTCGGGCAACTATAGGCCAGTAAGCCTTACTTCAGTAGTGGGGAAAGTGATGGAAACCATGTTAAAGGATAGGATTGTTAAACATCTAAAAACACATGGATTTCAAGATCAGAGACAACATGGATTTACTTCAGGGAGATCATGCCAAACTAATCTTATTGATTTTTTTGATTGGGTAACTAAAATTATAGATCAGGGTGGTGCAGTAGACATTGCTTACCTAGATTTCAGTAAGGCTTTTGACACTGTTGCACATAGAAGGCTTATCAATAAACTGCAATCTTTAAGTTTGGATTCCAATATTGTTGAATGGGTAAGGCAGTGGCTGAGTGACAGGCAACAGAGGGTTGTAGTTAATGGAATATATTCGAAGCTTGGACTTGTCACCAGTGGGGTACCTCAGGGATCTGTACTTGGACCCATTCTCTTTAATATTTTTATTAGTGATATTGCAGAAGGTCTTGATGGTAAGGTATGTCTTTTTGCTGATGATACTAAGATATGTAACAGGGTTGATGTTCTAGGAGGGATAAGCCAAATGACAAATGATTTAGGTAAACTAGAAAAATGGTCAGAATTGTGGCAACTGACATTTAATGTGGATAAGTGCAAGATAATGCATCTTGGACGTAAAAACCCAAGGGCAGAGTACAGAATATTTGATAGAGTCCTAACCTCAACAATTGAGGAAAGGGATTTAGGGGTGATTATTTCTGATGACTTAAAGGTAGGCAGACAATGTAATAGAGCAGCAGGAAATGCTAGCAGAATGCTTGGTTGTATAGGGAGAGGTATTAGCAGTAGAAAGAGGGAAGTGCTCATGCCATTGTACAGAACACTGGTGAGACCTCACTTGGAGTATTGTACACAGTACTGGAGACCTTATCTTCAGAAGGATATTGATACCTTAGAGAGGGTTCAGAGAAGGGCTACTAAACTGGTTAATGGATTGCGGGATAACACTTACCAGGAAAGGTTAAAGGATCTTAACATGTATAGCTTGGAGGAAAGACGAGACAGGGGGGATATGATAGAAACATTTAAATATATAAAGGGAATCAACACAGTAAAGAAGGAGACTATATTTAAAAAGAAGAAAAACTACCACAACAAGAGGACATAGTCTTAAATTAGAGGGACAAAGGTTTAAAAATAATATCAGGAAGTATTACTTTACTGAGAGGGTAGTGGATGCATGAAATAGCCTTCCAGCTGAAGTGGTAGAGGTTAACACAGTAAAGGGGTTTAAGCATGCGTGGGATAGGCATAAGGCTATCCTAACTATAAGATAAGGCCAGGGACTAATGAAAGTATTTAGAAAATTGGGCAGACTAGATGGGCCGAATGGTTTTTATCTGCCGTCACATTCTATGTTTCTATGTTTCTTTGCTATGATTTGCTTCTTAAGAGGCAGTTAGGCACATGAACCAACACAGGACAACGTAGTGGGTAAGTACATTAAAACATGAACCCTGCACAAGTGAACATACACCCAATAAGCTAAAAAGGGACAATTGCTTGATGCAAGGAGTAACAATATCTAAATGTCTCTCAACACACCCAATTTCAGCAGGATAGTCCCTATTTTAGGGATTTTGTTCCCTGGTTTCTTGCATCTGTGGATATAAGGGAAGTGTACTGGGACCCAACAGCAGCGGTCTCTGCATGGTCCTTTTGAAGGAGCTGCCTTTACTGCAGCTGTCTTCAGTTCTTGTTGGTTTATGGATCTTTCTGCCTTCAGTTTTGTCTATAGCAAGTAAAATGCATGCTTGATCGGGTTGAGATCAGGTGATTGACTCGGCCATTGCAGAATATTCCACTTCTTTGCCTTAAACTCCTGGGTTACATTCGCAGTATGTTTTGGGTCATTGTCAATCTGTATAGCGAAGTGCCATGCTTTAATAGTCTGGAGTGTCCCTTTAATGTTATTCCTAACTCAACCCCATTTGCTTTATATGTTGTTTGTTCCTTATAAAATATATGACTTTACATTTATCTGTATTGAATTTAATCTGCCAATTGCCTGTCCGATTCCAAAATGTGTCAAAATCTCTCCATTGAGGAGTTATATCCTCTTCAGACTGCATTATCTTATCTACTTTTATGGAAGATAAAAATACAAAAAAGGTAGCGCCTGTGAGGAATAAATATATAAATAAAATAAATAAATACATAAAATAACATAACAAAAGTCCAGGTAACTTAACACAAGTCCAAGTAAGGTAGTTCAAAATAGTAGGGAAGGTTATTTATGGAGCAGCAGATTTAATTGATAGTAGTGGTGTCACGGAATAAAACTTGGGATCCAGTAGGACGTGTGGAGAAAAAAAAAAAAAAAAGGAACTCCAATGGTATGGTATGTACATACAATGTGTTACAAAAGGTATATAAATGAGATACTACTCGCAATACCCAGAGCTACAATCCAACTCTTGTTTGAAAAGCGTGAAGTGGAATAATCCCCACTCAAGGATATATGTAGTTCTCCAAGCTTCCAATCTTGTGTAGCAGCAGAGTAATCCAAAAAATAAAAGGTAACCAAATATAGTGCTCACTGTATCTTTATGAGTCAAAGTAAAATATATGAAATGTACTTACAAATTGCCGAGCAGACTCATTGCTCGGTGTATAATGTGTGGGTGGTATAATCCCCACCTAGGGATTATTTATACTTCTTAGAAAAAGCAAAAGAGATGTCAGGCCAAAATTTTTTAAAAACTAAAAAAAGAATATGGCAAATGTGGTATATAGCCAAAAGAATTCCTTTATTAAAATACTTTACTAAATAGAAACATAGAAACATCGAATGTGACGGCCCATCTAGTCTGCCCAATACTTAACTAAATACTTAACACTTGGACTAGTGTGGAGACACAATGTCAGTGCCGCACACTGTGCAGTACTGCCACAGGAAGCACCTGTAGCAGCCATCTGAGGAATGGCCACTGGAGGTATCCCTAAACTGTAATGTAAATAGTGCATTTTCTCTAGAAACAGTGTTTACTGCAAAAAGCCTCAAGGGAATGATTCTACTCACCAAAACAAGTAAAATAAGTTGTAGTTTCTCTGGTAACTCCAGTGTCCCTAAGTGTTTGTCAAGTTCATACAAAATGTAATTTTTAATCTCAATGATACCATATTATAGTGATTATTTACTAGGTTCTCCCTAACTTAAATGTTTGAAAATAGGTCAGCATTATTAGTTTTACAAAATTCAGATAAGCATCTATCCTAGTGGTGATTCTACTAATTGAAACACAAAAGTGTCTTTATCAAAAACCTGTAACTCTTAACTGTATTATTAATCCCTCTAACCCAGTCAATATCTGGATGATCAAAACATATCTAAAGATTGAACAAATTACCGAGCTGTGCAGTTTTATTAATTTGAGGTAACAGCTGCTCTTCCCCATCAGTAATAATGTTTAGGAGTTGGTGACATATTACTATTAATGAACACCCTGTTTTTTTGTGTAATGCAAAATTCTACCCACAAGGCTTCCACAGCCTTAATTGAATCATCACATACCATTTCATTAACTCCTGGCATCAACACAGGTTTTGATATAAAAATATACCCCTCCCACTTTTCTATTTTTTTTCTATCCTTTCTAAATAATGCATATCCATTTAAATTAACAGCCTAAATAAGTATTTAATCCCACAAAGTCTCAGAGAATAATGTCCAGTCTGAGCATATTTCAGACATGCTGTTAGAGATGATTTCTGAGGTGCCTAAATTAATCTCCAGTATAGTGTGTGAACTGGACACACTATCTATAATAGTTATATAACTATTATTACAAAAGTATACTCTATTAGGTAAAACACTATCTAACAAAAGTGTTGCAATCTTGGGTTATATCATGCTTAAAAAGTAGCTTAGCCATAACCGAGCTTGTCATGTATTGGTTGTGAGTGAAATCTGTGTAGGTAGATTTTATTTTTGTGATAAATTATGTGTGCATCACATCCAGGAGGCTGTGAATTCAATTCATGCATTATAATTTGTGTTCTGCTGTTTCTTTTTATTTTACAAGTGTATAATGCTTTTACAATGTATATTTAAAACCCATATACCTATCCATATGTATGTTAATTTTTGTGATTTAAAAAAAAAATCATAAAAAAATATATTTTATGCCCATACAAGGAATTCAACCCCTGCTGCTAGTGTGAAAAGCAAAAACACTTGACCACTATACTATAAAGAAACTCACTTAGTAAGAAAGCCCAGTTGCAATACAGTACTGTGTGTCTGTGTTGATAATGCATCATCCAATGCCAGCACTGTGTATCTGCTCCAGATAATGTGCCCCCCTGTCCCAGAACTTTACATGGCTGTTGAAGCATTCGGCCAGACTTTCCCATGTTTCAAGTCAGATTCAATAGGTGAAGTCTTCAGCAGATGCCACTGCTAATTGTGCATATTATGTCATTGGAATGCAATTCCTCACCTTGTTCATGTCTTGGCTTCACAATTGTAAATGTTTTTTGCCAAAATGGAAATGTAATGGTTAAAACCGATTTATTTTAGGCAATTTATTATTGCTCCCTTTGGGAATAGCAGCATTGTGCAGACAAAAAAACATTGTACATTAAACCACATTTCCTGGTAGCTTATCTGAGGAGGCACACCAGGAGATGGAATAATTTTCTGCCTACTTTTTATAAAGTGCTTTCTGCATGCATGAGATTAACATTTAGAACAATGACACTAGGTACACATAAACTTCTTTTAACCAGGCAACAGATATTGCATGTTTTGAGTTAGAAATGGCCTCTAAACAGGATGAATCTAAATTAAAAACACCATGTGCTGCTTAACATATTGTGTGAGGTGTTTATATATAAACTGTATATCTAGGGCAAAATTCTGAAAGTGGGGCAGTAGTTATGATAACCAATAGACTATCTCTGCTCTTTGCTATACTTTTAGAACTCTGCCCCAGATTAGCTCTTTTTAATGAGGCATATTTATCAGAGGGAAGGTCCTAATGGGATAGAAAATGTTTATTAATGTACCTGGGTCTAATGCATTTTCGCCATATTTTTCTATCCCGATTTAGAAACTGATTTAGAATGCTGTGTGGATATATACACACATTACACTTTGCTTTCCATCTAAAACACATGCAGTGATTGCATTTTAACATGCACTCTGGGGAGTTGGCCTCAAATAAATAATCTAAACACAAAATCATTATTTTGCAAGCAATTAATCAAAAAAGACATACAATATTTAAAGGCAGGCCCCCTCCCCCCTGTTTAAAAG